CCCATAATCGAGTTTTGATCTAATAATCGGAGCAAGACCTAAGACCTTACGGTCAGCCCCTCAGTCAGTATTTGATAAGACTCTCAATATGTTTAGGGGTTTCAGACATTTCGTTTTTAGATTTTTAATGTGGGGGATAAATGATAACTTCTTATCAAATATCAGCCCCAGAAATTTGGTTTCATCCACAACTGGAAGGCGGTTGCCATCCAAGAAAAGTTCTGGATCTGGATGTAAACCTCGTTTCGGACAGACATGCATGCACATCGATCTGAAAGTCATCAACATAAAGAGCGCCCTTTGTATCTGGTTTAAGGCACGCTTGGATAGTATTAATTTTTTTCGCAAAAAGAGTTGGAGATAAAATACTTCCCTGTGGAACCCCAATTTATTCAGGAAATGGGTCAGAGAATATTGATCCTAGTCGTACCTTAAATGACCTATCTTCCAGGAAATTTTTAATGAAGATAGGTAAGCGACCGAGGTTATGGAGGTCGGGCATGATACCACGTTTCCATGTAGTATCATATGCTTTCTCCAGATCAAAAAATATTGCAACTAAATGCTGCTTCTGGATGAAAGCGTCCCTGACGAACGTTTCAAATCGAAAGTGATGATCAAGAGTGCTCCTTTGGGACCGAAATCCACATTGGAGGTCAGTAATGAGGTTGTTGGACTTGAGGTACCAAACAAGCCTTCGATTGATCAAAATCTCCATAGTTTTGCAAATGCAGCTAGTTAAAGCGATCGGACGATAGTTGGTAGGATTCGTATGATCTTTACCCAGAATAAACAAAGTGCCTACCCTTGCAATTGATACAACACAAATCCACCTGGCAGGTAGCGCTCTCATGACCATCATGACCATCATGACCACAGCTAGCGCAGGTGTCGTTAACGATTATGTCAAGACCGATCGTGTCCGTCAGGTCACGCTCACACACAAGGGTCAATAGTTCATTGAGGAGTGCCTGTTTCATTACTGAATGCATAACAGTTTTTACTAATTTGAGCTTTTAAAAAAAGCTGGCTCGTATTGTGTTATCAAGTCATCGTAATCATACGTATACACAAATATACACAAATATATTCATACATAGACTATATTAAGTATTTTGAATTTTCCCCTTCTATTCTGGCATTGTTTGATTACTCGGCGATGCATAATTTTGAGTACAACTTTTGATTTTCCTGGTTGGGGGGGGGGGGGGCTTCACATTTACGCCTCTGGGCTTACCCAGTTGGATTTTGTGCTTGGGCTGGTCGGGAATATATATAATAGGCAGTGACGTCATTTTAGTAGGCGAGCGGCTTAATTCATGTCAGTTTATTCCTGATCCTTCCGCCCCAATATCATGAATATCACCAAAACCTGGCAGAAATAGAAATTCTATCCCATGCAGAAGTGGGGGGAAAGGGAGACAGGGAAAGGTACAGAGATAAGGGAAGCAATTACTAGTCAATCAGGGGACAGACCACAATCGTCTATTGATAGCAATTCTCCCTCTTCCCTTCTCTCATACGGTGGGGTGGGGTGGGGGTGAGTTGGGGATGGGGTGGGGTGTGGCGAATGGTTAGCACGTGCGCGCTGTATCATACGGTCTGTCATTGAATCAACTGGTGGGGTTTCGATTCCCCGGTTGTACGTAACAAGGAGTAGGGTCGCTTTTCCAACCTCTTGGGCTTTCTTCGGGTCCTCCATTTTCCACCCGCTGCTAAAGACCCATGCGAATTATTGAACCATATGTTAGTCTTGAAATGACCTAGTTTTTGTCGAATGGACGTTAAACCCCATTTCTCTCTCTCTCTTCTCTCTTACCCGCCTATTCTCAAGAAAATATTACCTATATTGATTAAAATGGAACTATAGTAATTTGTTATGTGAAATTCATTACATCGCCAGCTTTATAGTCCGGGGATCAAAGGGGAGTAACGCCATCTTTATGTGTCTTGAAGGGTATATTTGGGTGGATTATGTCAAATCATGTCACTTTAATACCCCCACCCTCGAGATGTTTTAAAGCTGAAATCATAAAAAACTTAAATGAAGTGGAGTTTAATAAGCTTAATATTTTGCCCGGCAATCATCGCTGAATTAAGGTAAATAAAAACACCAACAAACTATGGAAGTTAACATGGATGACTGACAAACACAGCAACATGAGGTAAACAAATTAACAACAAACTATGGAAGTTAACATGGATGACTGACAAACACAGCAACATGAGGTAAACAAATTAACAACAAACTATAGAAGTTAACATGGATGACTGACAAACATAGCAACATGAGGTAAACAAATTAACAACAAACTATGGAAGTTAACATGGATGACTGACAAACACAGCAACACGAGGTAAACAAATTAACAACAACAAACAAAGAACAAACTATTTATTTTTCAACTGGGTTACATTTTAAAACCTTGGTTTTATCTGGTTTTTATGAAGAAATACAGATGAATATATTGTAGTTATTGGTTTAGATGAATATTTTGTTGGCTTAGAATTATAATTTATAAAGAGGGAACTAAATAGCATTCATTTATTTTAAAGAAGTGGTAAACTATCACAATTTATTTTATTGAATCTAATAATAGTTGCTCGATAACATAAACTAGTTTGGTTACAACTCACAATATGGTTTCCCACATTTAGAATCTGAAAAATACAAAACATGGTTTATATATTATAAATAAACAAGTCATTATTGGGTGAATATACTCAAATATTACGATATAGTTTATTATATTAAACCTGATATAGCAGTGGTTAAATATCACAATTTATTTTATTGAATCTAATAACAGTTCACTTTGCAGTGGGTATAGTATAATATAAGCTAGTTTACTTACTTAATACAAAATGATTCTCCACATTCAGCACCTGAAAAATACAAAACATGGTTTATATATTATTAATAAACAAGATAATGTAAACCTATAGTACACCATGGTAGACGATTAATAACATCATTAGGTGAATATACTTATAAAGTCATAACTTATTGTTTGTTGTCATGACGAGATGTACTCAAGTCTTTTATTTTATACAAATAAAAAGGTTAAACGTGTTTATATACAAATCAGGTGATATTGATAGGTGATTATAAATAGAATAGTGTTTATATATACAAATCAGCTGAAATTGATAGGTGATTATAAATAGAATAGTGATTATTTACTTGCACAGAATCCATTAATACATGGATAACCACTACACTCACTGGCTTTACTACATGGTACTATAAAAATAAGTAATATATTACATGAGGTGTCTGATATATTTATAGTTTCTCTCACCTAGGCCAAAACATGAATATAGCTATGGGTTGTTACATAGATACAACGCCGGATTAACCACGGGGCACCATGGGGCCCAGGCCCCAGGGCCCCACATTAGAGGGCCCCCACAAAAATCTCAGTTGCGCGTCTCGAACATGGTCGGACCGAGGACTCCAACGGCCGGTGACCTACTGACGGGACCCCTTCGATGCTCCGAGATGTTTTCTGATTGGATCACCGGAATTAAACGCTATTTACAAGCGAATATTTTCTTTCGTTTTCCTTTTATAAAATATCGAATAACTCGGAAACTGTAACTCGAATTATCGCATAGCTCGAACCAAATTTCCGGTACAATCCTTATCTAAGTCTTATTTTTTACATCGCCTAACTCGAACTGTAAATAATGGATCTTGCAGGCGAGTGTGCCTTGCCAACTTTCCCGGAAACTTGAAGATTTGAAAAATAAACGCTTTTTGTCGCTTTATCTAAGGGTGTAACACATGATCTTCAATCGGACCGAACATCGTCTAACTCGAATTATCGTATAACTCGAACAAATACCCGTCCCCATCATTTCGAGAAGCGCGAATTTTGCCTCAGATTGACGTACGATTGTATATAAGCTGTAGTTGTTGTTGTTGATATTTGTTGTCGGTATAAGCTGAATTTGATGAGATGCACATCATGATCACACGAAGTATTCAGATTTCTTGATTAAATCTCGCATTACCATTTGGTACTTACAGTGTTAGACGTTCGTCAAAAATCGAGTCCGGTAACGTTACGGCCTCCATTCATCAAATCATCGCGGGGGATATAATACGATTCCGAATCAAGTGACCCCGTTATTTATCACTGAGCGACTTCAAAATTAGGTTTGATGTAGCTCTGCTCACTTACAGTGGCGGATTTAACGGGCTCAATGGGTCCCAGCCCCCTCCCCTAGAAATGACATCATTTCATAGCACTCGCATGGATTGGTCCACTGAAATAACGCCAGAATGCGCTAATTTTGTGGCAGAATTTTATTTTTGTCTGGGGGAGGTACTTTTAAATGGCTCCGACACAAGTGCCTGAAATGCCTGGAAATCACGTTTCCGGCCTCCAATTTCTGAAAATTTCCTGAGGGAGAACCCCCAGACACCCCTTGCTGAGCTTCACGACTTCGGCGCTCGCGGTAGCCGGCTTCACCGGCCACAGCTCCGCGGTCGGTGATCAGGGGCGCCCACATGTTACAGGCCCCAGGGCCCCCACCATGGTTAATCCGGCGTTGCATAGATATTAAATAATCGGTGTATATCATCATTCATTTGATCATATATATATATAACCAATTTAAGTAATATCTGATTGTAGCTCAACTTGATATTATAAAGTTAGTAAAATAAACAACATACCCTGATCAGAACACACATTAGACATGTCATCTGTAGTACCATCACAATTATCACCTGAAATATAAAACATACATATAATAGAGTTTATAAATAGAATGTCATATTAACGTATACCACAATTAAGACTTTTATTACGTCTTGCAAATGTTTTGATTTTTTGAAATAAACATTTTAACGGGTTTGATAAAAGTATTACCGAGACGGTTTCATTACCTTTATTATAACAGGTGATCTTTTGAACTTGAGTTTAAATTTCAACTGTTTATAAAGTAGAGGGTAATGATCTAATGTTTGTATTTTATACATTAATCAATAGACACAAATGCCATTAAGACAAACTTCACCATCAGCACAGTCGCCACAATCTGAATATAAACAAATTACAGGTTCGAAGATTGACTAATTACACATTTTAATGGAGGAAAAATTATTAACGATATATGTCTTTAACTATTTAGCCATTTAAAATATTTGAAAAAGCAATGCACGGAATATGTCTAGTTAATTTGTAGATTAATCCACAGATTATATGATGGAATTTTAATTTTATCAGTAAATTTCAAGATCATAGTTATTTGAGTGGATAAAAACTGGATTGGTTATAAATATAGCTGATAGAAGACTAGGTATCTTACCATCGGTCTTACATCTAAATCTGTAACACGTTCCTCCTCTATTCTTACACTCGTTCACGTTACATACTTTCACTGTAAAATAATTATAATATTGGTAATATATTAGATATGTGATATACTCCCGATTAAAGAAATCATTGCACCGTGGGCAATATGTGAGGTCTCCCATTCGTGTTCCTCATCACATCTGATCAGGTAAAGTATTATAAAGACAAATATCACAAGAATACTTACAGCTACAATCAGCTCCACCAAAGCCAACGGTACAATTACAAACACCGTGACCTACACATTCTCCACCATTCAAGCATTCGACATTTTCACAAGGATTTACTGAAAAGCAGAATAATAGTTGAGTGTTGACCCTAAAAACATCATGCAGATGCCAATATTTCAAGTTTCATCAAAATCGGATAACCATTACAGTACCTACAAACAAATGTGAACGGACGTCATGGCGGACAGGGGCGACGCCTGTGATATTAGTGATAAAAGGGATCAGTTTCGTACATATAGGATTTATTTACATAGGTAGCAGGAACATAAATAACAATATAAACAAGGTACATATCTATAATACGACTACCATTCCGCCCTTCTGCCACAGCAGCGGCTGATTCGGGTGAGTCCATACCCTCGTCTCGGACCTCTCCGCTCGTCTCTACTTCTCGGGGGGGGGGGGCGAATGGTTAGCGCGTGTCCCATTCAGTTAACTGACGTGGTTTCTATTCCCGGGTTGTACGTGACAAGGAGTAGGGTCGCCTGTCCAACCTCGTTGGTTTTTGCCGAGTCCTCCGGTTTCATCCCACTGCTAAAGACCCCTACGCGCAGGCGAATTATTGAAATAAAATTGAACCATGTGTTAGTCCCAAAATGATCTAGTTTTTGTCGAGTGGACGTTAAACCCTATTGCTTTGCTCTCCCATTCTCTCTCTTCCCCTCTCTCTCTCTCTCTCTCTCTCTCTGTGTATATATGTACTGGACATCCATATATGTAGTGGAAAGTTGAGCTGATATCGTAGATCAATAACGTTGGGTTTAATGGGTTCGATGCATTTGAATAAATATTTTTATATAAAATATAGTCTTAATATAATACAAGTTATGGAGCACTTTGCCACACGACAAAATCGGGGCATATCAAAATCACAAATACTTACATGTAACGTTACAAGTAGCTCCACGGAAACCAGACGTACAATTACAAACAATTGCATTTTTTGGAAAACATCAAATTTTTCACGGCTTAATGCAAACTGCACGCAGCGATCCATCTACGTCATACTTCGAGATAATGATCACTGCCCTAGTTTGCCTCCATTTAAAACGCTCACGTGATCATTTTGGGGCGGGACTTATCGACTGGACGACTGCTTTGTGTACACAACAAAGTAAAAATAACCCGATCAAGCACGTGTTTTATGTAAACACGTGTCATTGACAAAATGTCAACTTCTGCCACTCCGGTAAAAGCGATATATAATATGTGCTAGTCGGTAATATTTGCAATACATCTTTGCCATTGTAAACTTTCTTTAGAGTTTCAATCTGTATATCTATCAAAACAAGGTTAGGATACTCCTTAATTTGTCTTCGCAAACAAAACCGCCTCTGTGAAAATTATCTTTCATGGGCGCCGCCATATTGAATAATTAGAGGACTATTTTGTGATTCGGCTTTGATTAGTTTGACATTTTCATACACACAGCGGCTAAATAAACATATTTAATTTCATTCAATATAACAATAGAAGAGGAATAAACATATTTAACTTCATTCAATATGACAATAGAAGAGAAATAAATACTTCTAAAAATTACTAAAAGCATACTCAGTGGTTTCGACTAAAATCGTCGATGTAGGAATTAAAATGTCGGTTAATTAGCTTAGGCCCTGTTCTCAGGTGGAGCTAGCTGTAGACAGGCAGCCTTAGTTTGGGATGGGCTTAATGCACGCTAAGTATTTACTCAGATTGATTATTTAACATTTAATTAAGAAATTAAAATAATGCTAAATATTTTCCCGGTTTGAAATTAAAACACTTTGGCCTATCAGTTTAGTTCACAGACAAATAATGCTAAATGGAATTGAATCATTCCTGTTAGGGGTTCAACAGGAACTAAATGTTGTTTACCCGAAGAGCTTAAATTTATGTTAAAATCCTATCTCTTTTAAAAAGTCTTTACCATATATACCCGGTTGGGTAAACATGTGATGTAATGACTGACAACGGTAAAAATTCGATCTAATATCTTTGAAATGCTTGCACTCAATCAAAATGTGCTTAATTTTCAAAGGAACATGGCCGTGTTCACATTCTGGTTGAGGCTCTCGCTTTAAAATAAAAATGTGAGTTAAAAAAATATGACGAATGTGAGAGCGTCACAAAACAACTTCATATCTCCTGTTAGTTCTATAGGAGTTAGACCAGTTCCCTAAGAGGGGCTTAATGTGATGAAGTTTGTTTGTGCCTGCAAGATCCCTGCAAGTTGCCAGCGCTCGTATACAAAATCATTGATTGAGGATTTAAAATCCGAAAATGGTATTATAAATTGTGATATGGGAAGATCTTGATCAAGCAGACTTGATCATACCCTTTAACATCAACATGACTGGTGGGCCAGTAAAGAACGGTCTCTTTGCCGTTAAACTCGTGTGACAGTACACATGAATCTCATCTTCTATCCGTATATATATATATATATATATATATATATATATATATATATATATACACACACACACAACTATTAGCATATATATATCACAAAATGGAAATGGCACTAAGGGATAGCTTAGTGGAGTTTCAAACAAAATCTGTGCCGTCGGAAATCGCTCGTATTTATTAATTATCAATTATATATATATATATATAAAACCATTGTTGTATGTATATACTAGCATAACTCCGAAACCGGAAGTGGTAGACTAACGCCACCTGGCCTATGCTACTCCCCGGTCCGAGCTACCCCTATACCCCAAATTTCAGACTCGGGGCAGACCTAGTGTAGCCGCCAACCCCGAAACCGGAAGTGGTAGACTAACGCCACCTGGCCTATGTTACTCCCCGGTCCGAGTTACCCCTATGCCCCAAATTTCAGACTCGGGGCAGACCTAGTGTAGCCGCCAACCCCGAACAGAAAAACTTCGCTCGGGGGTCATAACTCCGAAACCGGAAGTGGTAGACTAACGCCACCAGGCCTATGTTACTCCCCGGTCCGAGCTACCCTATATCCCAAATTTCAGACTCGGGGCAGACCTAGTGTAGCCGCCAACCCCGAACAGACCGGCTTCGCTCGGCGGGTCATAACTCCGAAACCGGAAGACTAACGCCACCTGGCCTATGTTACTCCCCGGTCCGAGCTACCCCTATACCCTAAATTTCAGACTCGGGGCAGATGTAGCCGTCAACCCCGAACAGACAGACTTCGCTCGGGGGTCATAACTCCGAAACCGGAAGTGGTAGACTAACGCCACCTGGCCTATGTTACGCCCCGGTCCGAGCTACCCCTATACCCCAAATTTCAAACTCGGGGCAGACCTAGTGTAGCCGCCAACCCCGAACAGACCGGCTTCGCTCGGGGGTCATAACTCCGAAACCGGAAGTGGTAGACTAACGCCACCTGGCCTATGTTACTCCCCGGTCCGAGCTTCCCCTAGACCCCAAATTTCAGACTCGGGGCAGACCTAGTGTAACTGCCAACCCCGAACAGACAGACAGACAGACAGACAAACGACAGTCACAAATATATATATATAGATTTATATATATAAAACCATTGATATGTCTATATATATTTTAACTCGCCAGACATTGGCTCAAAAAGCGAAGTATTATCAGTAAATTTGATATTTTATATTGCACTTTGTTTCAGAAAATTTAACACCGCATTAGAAACAAGATTGACTTAATTTCAGCTGAACTTTCTGAGTATGACTTCATAACGGTAAGCGAAACATGGCTTGACAAAAATATCCCTTTATCTTCTATTTCTATACCCTCCTAAAACACCCCTGTTCGCAACGACAGAAATAGCCATGGTGGCGGGGTCGCAATCTCTGTTTGAAATTCACTCTCATTCGTGTTCCCCACTACGTCTGATCATGTGATTTTACTAGTAGATATAGTGTTGACTCTAAGACACAAATGACAACAATACTTACTACTGCACGTTGGTCCACTGTAACCAGATACACATTTACAAACACCTTCAGCTGAACTTTCTGAGTATGACATCATAACGGTAAGTGAAACATGGCTTGACAAAAATATCCCTTTATCTTCTATTTCTATACCCTCCTAAAACACCCCTGTTCGCAACGACAGAAATAGCCATGGTGGCGGGGTCGCAATCTCTGTTTGAAATTCACTCTCATTCGTGTTCCCCACTACGTCTGATCATGTGATTTTACTAGTAGATAAAGTGTTGACTCTAAGACACAAATGACAACAATACTTACTGCTGCACGTTGGTCAGTAATATTTAAACGTAATGATGCCTGATTTGCATTTTTTTGGAAAATATCAAATTTCTCATGGCTTAATAATGCACGGGAAGTATTTACTCAGATTAGTTTTTTTAACATTTAATCAAGAAATAAAAAATAATACTAAATATTCTCCTGGCTCGAATATAAAACACTTTGGTCTATCAGTTTGGTTCACGGACAAATAATGATGTAATGTCCAATGCTGAACAGAACTGGACCATTCCTGTTAGAGATTCAACATGAATGGTTATCACATATGAGCTATATTTATTATCAATCCAGTTATTATCCACTCAAATAACTATCATCTTGAAATTAACTGATAAAATTAAAATTCCATCATATAATCTGTGGATTAATCTACAAATTAATTAGACATATTCCGTGCATTGCTTTGTCAAATTTCACATGATCATTTTATAATGGCTAATCAGTTAAAGACATATATCGTTAATAATTTTTCCTCCATTAAAATATGTAATTTGTCAATCTTCTAACCTGTAATTTGTTTATATTCAGGTTGTGGCTGTGGTAGGGATGAAGTGTGTTTTGATGGTTCTTGTGTAGTCAGAAGTAAATATAACATGTTACATGTCTGTTGATTAATGTATAAAATACAAACATTAGACCATTACCCTCTACTTTATAAAAACTTGAAATTTAAACTCAAGTTCAAGGGATCACCTGTTATAATAAAAGTAATGAAACCGTATCGGTAATATTTTTATCAAACCTAAAGAATATTTGTTTCAAAAATTCATTACTGTCAAAACATTTTCAAGACGTAATAAAAGTCTTAAATTTGGTAAAAACTATGGAACAGTAAGACTTCCCGAGTCCACAAAGTTTAAAAACAACGACTTCAT